CTACTAGCGTCGGTTCCGAAGTTATGAACGAGGAAAATGGCGAACTTGAAGTTATGGAGGAGATCAGTCCGAACCATGTCGATCTAACCTTAATTAGCCTTATATCCAAACTCCCAACACCAGCTACCGTACCTCTTCTCGTGGTGAAATCAGATCCAGTTAATAGCGGTCTCATGGATCTGAATGCTTCCTCAAAGAGTGCTAACCAACATGACACTAAATCGGGAAGCACATTTGAAGCTAAAAAGTATCCAGACAAATTCGGTGTGAACAAAGAAAAGGTATGAATCATTCATTTTTCTGCAATCACTTTACTTAATAAATCTTATCCATAACACCTTCGCATACCCAATTGAAATAGGAAATGTGATATAGTTTGTGTATATTCTCAGGTCTCAAAATCTTTTATGCCCATTAATAGCCTCCCTTCTTTCAAAAACCTATAAATGGTTGGTCTCTTTTAGTTAAATCCCTTACTATTGTCCATTTTTAAGGCCTAATAGAACTTTGCTTTAGGTCCTCCATCATTTCCCTCGAGCCTTCCATACATATATGCACTTTAGAGGCAAGGTGAGCTTCTGCATTTTCTTGAGTTTTTATAGTAGACAAACCATCTACCCTACACTTATCTCTTACCTAAACTCATAGTCTGTTCGCGGTCAATGAGGTACCAGCAACTAAAGCAAATGATTTCACTGTTAAATTAGCCAAATATACTCTATACATAAACATTGACCAATGTATGACGCTAAGTTTAGCAAAGTAGCAGTGCGATAACATCCAGGATAATATAAGAGCACCAATGAATAACGGATTTCCTGGGAGATGCGTTTACGTCATGTGGAGGAATAAAACCAGATGTCCTGCGGTTTGTTGAGGCCAAAGGAATCCTGGTGCTGCAAAAGAAGTGGAATCTTTATGTTTATTGCAAGCGCGGAGGGAACAGAACTGGAGAATTCTTAGCCCATCCGTGATTAGTACCAACTTATCTTCCTGCCCATATCTTAAATAGGCGATTCTACCTTAGGCATTTTGTACAATTTGTGCTGAAATATCGGAACAGCCATAGCCTATCTGTAGCGAAACTTTCTCAGTTAAGTAGTCTTTCATTGTTAATGAGTAGAGCTTGAAGTAACAAATATAACCTGTAACGTCTATAGGAAAATAGCATTCGATTTTAGACACTTGAATTGTGATCCCAACTTAGACGCTCCCTAACTTTATTATGATTGGAATTAGCCATATTTTAAAGCCCATTTGAATACTTGTGCCGTAATAACGATTCATTTTATTGGCTCGCACTTTAACATCGTTTTTATGTCCATTGTTCCGCCGCTCCTCAAATCTTCACTTCTATATTGACGCCACCTCTTAAGCTCAAGTAAGTTCATTTCTTTTTAGTGATCTTGGAGTTGGATCAAGTATACTCATTCTAACAGCAGATTGGGAAGCTTTGTAAGCCCTTTCTTTTTTATATTCGCTTTGCTTACTGCCACCTACATCTTGCTCTAATCGCCATAACAATTCGGCCCTTTAATTTCCTCCCTCATAGAAATCACTTTTATGTGTACTAACTAATCATGTCTCCTGGTGATTTCCGTCATTATATCATTCATTACATTTTTACAGCACACCTTTTTGCAGAAACGACTTCATTCCAGTCTAATTTCACGCCCTCGTGTTCCTTTTCGCCTCCCTCATGCTCAATTCGTCCTCGCGATTAGATCGTAAAGAAGCGAGCTACCTTCTCCTTCCCAGCGCGAAGGAAACGGATTTTCGCGGTTGATGGCAAGAAACGAAAGGAGTTGCCAGCCCCGACTATATGGTTGCACAGAGAGGCTTAACGATGGCGCAATTTTTTCCTATTTTCCACCCGTTTTTTATTCACTTAAATCCGCTTTATTGGTCGGACTCCATCGTATTGAGATCGAGCACATAAGTTGAGTAATCCTTATTTATACATATATATCCACGCACATTTATACGCATATATGCACCTTCGTATGCGCGTCTGTTTGTGCTTTTGCTACCTTCATATCGCTCTTTCGGCTAAGCTGGTATTGTTGCGCCTCTACAGTCATTGATGGGGACAAAAATAATAGTTTTTCTGGCGCAAGCTCACAGTGCTTTTCTTGTTCCTAATAAGCAATTTTCATTTCGTTTATTCTATTCTCATCAACCAATGCCGCAAAACTGTATCCAAGATAAGTAAACTCGAGCATCAAACAGCGTATAATCTTTTCATCTCTTCTATCGGGAATGCGTTCATACTCACCGATAAAAAACCTAAATAGCGTCTCACATCTCCTTAATCAATCGAGCATTCGATAGATAACTTACACCTAATTTTCTCTAGATCCAAAACTTTCAAGTATTGGTAAAAATCCCGCAGAAAGAATACTCACAGAAAATAAGCCCTTATTCATCTCGCATCATTAGGCTAACTCGGCTCATGAAGTTTTTCATACTGTAAGACTTATGTGGCATGCTACTCCATTTTAGAACCACCACTTACAAAGCAAGATATAAAGTTGCGTGGTATACTTTTGGGATCTTATAAGATATATATATAGCCTTATGTGTATTATAATTTTCAAGTTTAAGCAAGGAACCAATTTTTAAGAGAATACGGAGCGGAATAAAGAGAGACAAGCCTGATGCATACTTTCCAAGGCTAAGTACCAAGTCAAGAGTATATATGAAGAGAATCTGAATCTCGAATAATCCCTTGAAAGAGTGATGTTGACTTATCCTTTGTTATAGCCTCTTTGGTGGAAGCGCCCACGGTTTGGTAGGTTTAGAACTTTCTGACATTTGTATTAGAGTAGGGTTTCGAGACTACCAGTAAATCAGTGTAATGAGATGTATTCACCCTATTTCGTGTAAGTTGATGAAGGACTGGTAGTAGAATTGTCCCACAATGATATGAGTTTAGCTGACTTTTCCATTGAATTTTCACATTAAGGGAATGGTAGTAGAATTTTCCCACAATGATATGAGTTAAGCTGACTTTTTCCATTGAATTTCACATAGCCTTGCAAGTAGAATTTTCCCACAATGATATGAGTTGAGCTGACGTTTCCATTGAATTTCATATAGTATTGCTTTCCCAACGAATTTTCCCACAATCATATGAGTTGAGCTGACGTTTCCATTGAATTTCACAAAAAGAATATGATATAGCAGATATGAGTTTAGCTGACTTTTCCATTGAATTTCACATAGCCTTGCTTTCCCAAAGATTTTCCCACAATGATATGAGTTGAGCTGACGTTTCCATTGAATTTCACATAGCCTTGCTTTCCCAAAAACATAATGATATGAGTTTAGCTGACTTTTCCATTGAATCTCACATAGCCTTTCTTTCCCAAAAGTTGTTCTAATGCTTATCAGTGTGATGAGATGTATTCACCCTATTTCGTGTAAGGTGATGAAGGACTGGTAGTAGAATTTTCCCACAATGATATGAATTAGAGCTGACGTTTCCATTCAATTTCAAATTGCCTTGCTTTCCCAACACCCTGGATGAGAACACCTTTTGGGTGCTGACTTTTCCATTGAATTTCACATAGCCTTGCTTTCCCAAAAGTTGTTCTCATCCTGGGTGGACTGCGCGTTTTCCATTGAATTTCACATAGCCTTGCTTTCCCAAAAGTTGTTCTAATCCTGGGTGGACTGCAGTTTCCGATGCAAGATCGAAACTGCAGTCCACCCAGGATGAGAACAACGTTTGGGAAAGCAAGGCTATGTGAAATTCAATGGAAA